CATTCCCGGGGGGCACCAGCCACAGCTTCTCTGGCCAACCTGTTCCAGTGTCTGACCACCCTCACAGTGAAGAACTTCTTCCTAATATCTCATCTAAACCTCCCCTCTTTCAGCTTAAACCCATTTCCCCTTGTTTTGTCATTAACTGCCCTTATGAAAAGTCCTTCCCCAGGTTTCTTGTAGCCCCTTCAGGTACTGGGAGGCCGCTATAAGATCTCCCCAGAGCCTTCTCTTCTCCAGGCTGAACAGCCCCAACTCTTTCAGCCATGAGTTTATGTAACTTTTTACCTCCTCGGATTGTTTCATGAAGTTAAAACAATGTTTGAAAATTGGAGAGAAAGAAAGGAGGAAGCATGAAATGAGGAGTCAATGGGCAGCAGCTGGAGCAGGGCTAGTTGGAAGGCAGGCTCCCTGAATGCCTACGTGAGACGGAGGGACAGGCAGGAAAGTCACCTTTACAGAATGGAAAGGCTGGAGTAGACACGACAGTGGGAAATAGTTTTTCCATGAACTTCTAAACTACAGTTTTTCTCAAGACTGGAATCCAACCTACCCTAACCAATAGATGTATTCAAGAAGTTTCTTGCTGTGTTCAAAAGGAAAAGCACATCCTATCAGATACCATCAAGGTCTGTCATCTGGGTTTCTGTCCCAAGTGTTCAAGAAGCCCAGCAGATCTCCCCTCTCGCCCAGAGAGCTGTAAAACTGCGCCGTGGCTCAGCACACAGGCGTGCTGGGCGGCATCTGCTCCTCCTCAACTCATGACATCCTCAGTGAGAAAGTAAAATGAAGGAACACAGGTGAAAAAAACCACCAAAAAAACAGAAAGATTGCAAGAAATCAGGACTGTGCCCAGCCCGAGCCACCCAGATGAAGAGCTGGATCTCCATGAGTGAGGAGTCAGACCCAGTGAGCTGGTACCACTCCCATCACATGTGTTAAGGCAAGAGAAGATGTGAGGTGAAGTTCACAGCTCCCCAGCCACCTGGATGCACACCTCACGCGAATAAATCTGCGTCCTGACCTGCATCTTGAGGCTAGAATAATGTGTGTGGTGGTTTCTCTTGGCTGGCAGCCAAACGCAGCCGCTCGCTCACTCCCCGCCCCATCCCAGGGGACAGGGGAGAGAACTGGAGGTGTAAGGAGACTGGTAGGTTGAGATAAGAACAATTCAATAATTCAAATTCAATAAAACTTAAACTAATAATGATATTTAAATAATAATGATAATAATAATAGTAATAAAATATGTAAATTAGTGATACACAGTGCAATTATTCACCACCTGCTGACCAAGCCCGGCCCGTTCCCAGATCACGATCCCGGAGGAGCGACAATCCCGAACCGAAACCGCAGTCCTGGGAGAGTGAGAAGCCAAAAGAGAACCAGAGAGAGAACCCCCACAAAAGAGAGACCCTCATTAATATACTGACCTCGACGTGATATGAGATGGAATATCCCATTGCCACATCCAAAATGCCAATTTAGCTTATTAATTTCAATATTCCTTGCTCCTCTAGACCTTGCACCTGTAGACTAACAAAACGCAAAGTCCTTCGACTTCCAGAAACAATTGAAAACATTAATATGTTCTCAACGTTCTTCTAATAAATCCCAGCTGAAACCAAACCCCAGGGCTGTTCTAGCTACTAAAAAGAAACTCAGCTCTGTCCCAGCTCAAAACCAGGACAACATGATGATGTAAATTCCCTGTGACAACGAGACAGCTCATCTGGTCACTTTAGGAACCCCTCAGTTTCACTGGCTACTTAACTTCCCCAGCCTCACGCAGAGCAAAGAGTTGGACACACATTCCCAAATCAGACAACTGTTCTAAGCACTGCACCACACTCTTGTACATCCACATCCCCAAAATCCCTCAAGATTACCACCCAAGTTCAAGGGAAGAGCTCCTTTAGCACTCCAAGGAAAAAGAAACATCAAGGTTTGAACCAAATCTGCCCTTTTCCAGACAGATTTCTACAAAACTTAACCTTGAATTTAGTCAGAGTTAAGATTTATGGCTGCGGACGACACCTAAACATGAGCAATGAATAATCTGATGTGTGGGGGAATAGTTAAAAAGTTCACAGATAAACACACACACACACAAAATAAATCTAAAATCTATTTCCCCAGGATATTTCCCCAGTTACAGCAACAGGTTGTTAACTGTGGAACTTAACGTTTGCCACCGAGCAAACTTGTTTCACTCCAGATTCTTCAAGGCATGAGAGAATTGGGGAAAAAAAAACCCCCAAAACCAGATGGATCTTAAATAGAGCATCCTCTGATTATCCTTTCTGAGCACTGAGGTGAGTGGACAGGCACAAAAAGTAGGTTTTCTAACCTTCCCCCTCCTTCCCCCAGTTTATTTAAACACTGACAGGCAATTAAGTTGTTTTGGTTCCTGTGAGTCCTTTTTCCCCATAAGGCTGTTTGTTTCCATCTCAGAGCTCAGTGGTTTAGTTTCCACATATAACAAGGTCCCCAAACTCTTCCTAAAACACCTGCAGCAGCCTGGAAGTCTTGTCCATCTAATTCTCATACAGCCCATCAGCCAGTGCTGGTGGCATAAGCAGTCATCAAATTTACAATTTACTTATTAATAAACCAATCCCTAAGCACAACGTAAAGGAATAAAACATCTGCTACTCTAAATACAGTAAAAATACTGATGGCAACTTGTGCATTTCAAACATCTGCAGCCAAAGGGTCTGGTATTTGCCAGAATTCCTGAATCTGTTACTTAAAAAAAAATTTTAAAGAGTAATTTTAGTCCACATAATTGCGAAGAGATCCTTGAAAATATCAGTTCCCTGTAAATTATAATTTACTACAAGCTCAACTGGAAAAGAAGTTTGAACTTCCCCATGTACCTCTTCATGAAGCCTAAAGGTGACAACATAAATACCAACTTCATTAACTATTTTAACTAATGATTACCCCAGTAGAACCATCCAGCTATGGGTATTGTGCCAGAACACTCAATTTTCTCCACAAATATTCCAGCTGTCTTCCATTTAATTGCCAAAACTGCAAGTTTCCCCTCCTGACATTCTGTTTCATGCAACAAGTTTTCAAAGCTTTAAATCAGAGACATTATTTCAGGGTAGATTAAGAGCCCTGCACCACATCTGGAACACAAAAAAAGGAGAGTAAATACTTCTTTTGCCTTGTTAGGATTAAAATGGGGATTTTACAGACCAACATAGTGCAAGGATTAGCATCCACCAGCTGTGTTAATTGAGAAATTCCCCAAATCCCCCACACACCATTTTGGTTAGAGGAAAATGAGGTTCTGCCATCAACATCTGGAACCATAATCTAGGAAAATATTTCCCCACGACTGAAACAGCTGAAGAAAACCAAGCCAAGCTGTTCACAGCCTCCACCGGGGTCAAGGACTAGACAGAATACAGGAGACTAATTCCTTTCTTAGTCACAGAAAAACCCTTTTGAGATCTGTGTTTAGATCCAGTGAGGCAGCTTTATCAGCTAAAGAAATGCCAATGGAAATGAGATACTTGAGAAAGGAAAATTAGTCACTAAGGTGTTCTATTAAGGGATGATTTTATTCCATCTTTAAAAGATGTGCTCAGTGAAGGAATCGTTGGGTGAAATGATCTTGCATTGTAAAGGAGGGCAGGCGAGACAGCTAACGATGCTGATTTTCTGCAGGATGGACAAGGCAAGAACTCCCAGCCATTGTTTGCTCCCTTTGCTGGAAATAAACATTTTGGAAGATAAACAGAAAGAGAATTAAATATGATCCCAGTGTGAGTGTAAGAGATTTCTCTCACAAGGGGGAATCAAGTAAATAAATAAAAAAAAAGACTTTGAAGAGCCAGTGAAGGATGTCCACGTCAGGGCACAGTTCTGATTTCTACTGCACCTTCCAGTACCTGAAGGGGCTACAAGAAAGCTGGGGAAGGACTTTTCATAAGGGCAATTAATGACAAAACAAGAGGAAATGGGTTTAAGCTGAAAGAGGGGAGGTTTAGATTAGACATTAGGAAGAAATTCTTCACTGTGAGGGTGGTGAGACACTGGAACAGGTTGGCCAGAGAAGCTGTGGCTGCTCCTCCCTGGAAGTGTTGAAGGCCAGGCTGGATGAGGCTTTGAGCAACCTGGTCTAGTGGAAGGTGTCCCTGCTGCTGGCAGGGGGGTTGGAACTGGATGAGCTTTAAGGTCTCTTCCAACCCAAACCAGTCTGGGATTCCATGATTTAGAATCTCTGTTTTGCTGCAGTCAGACCACACAGATTCTGCGCTCTGCTAGACCCCAGGCCTAACACAGGACACCCAGCTACCTACCGACGGTGTAAATTTCCATATTGACAGTAAAGATGGAATGGGAACGGGAAGAATCCTTATTCATGAGGGTGTAAGCCACTGCTCGGTTTCTCCAGCCCGTCTCCATGATCCGCTCGCACTGGGCCACGCTGTGCACGGTGTGCAGAGACAGCCCCTTCACATACACCCCCCTCTCCGGGTGCTCCTTCAGCTGGAATCACAGACAAGGCAAGACAGGTTAGAACAAGATGCACCGAAGCTGTGGGAAACTGGTTGGAAGCTTGAGGGGCTACGTGGGTTTTGCACGTGGAGAAATTAAAGAAATGAAACAGCAAAAATATATCTGGCTGATGTTAAAAAGCTTCATTTATTCCTCTTGTTTCTGAAGGAAAATTAAAACCACATAAAAAGAGGCAACAGACAAAAAAAAAAATGAAAGGTAAAAGTTTGCTGGTTGATTCAGTCATCTCCCAGGCCACAAGAAGCCTGCGCTGAGCTGCCCTCTACCTCCCCTATTATTAACCTGTGTATTTTTAAAAAAGAACTGATTTTTTTTCACCTATTATGGCAAAAGTTCTAATATCTCTTCAGTCATAGGGAGCTTTTTAAAAATCCAAAGCACTGATTCAACAGTCACAGATATTGTCACCAGTGCTTTACTGAACCCCTCTGCTCTGAGAGGGCGTCTTGATCTCCCTGACAAAATTCCCACAGTCACACCCATCACGACTATAATAAATTTTCTCCAGATTAGTTCATTTCTAAGATTCTCTCAAATCCTATTCAGGCACCTGAGTGGAGACAGAGTGTTAAATACTTAATAGCATCTTTTCAGCCTTTATCAATCATGCAGAAGACAAATTTCATCCAGCGTGCGAACAAACGATTGAAAAGCTCAAAATCTTCAATGATCCATCAAACCTACCTAAAAAAAAATTACCAAACAATCAAGAGATCCCTGCACGCCCACACCAGCCTCCTCTGAACCTCCCTCCACGCTGGGAATTTGAAAACGAGCTGAATTCATTTTCATCAGCAATATTACACCCTGCAACTGCTGAGTTCATAACCAAAACTCTTTATCTTTATCGTGTCAAGATATCAAGATATGGCTGTCATGACTCGGTGTCACCGAGTGACAGACACCGCGCCTGGCAGTGTGACATCCAAAGACAACCCCTAGATACTTTAGTGATTGTGAGAAATGGGGGAGAGTGTTGTTGGTTTTCGCCATAATCATTCTTTTTTTTTTTGCTGACATATGGGGAATTTGATGAAAAGGCCTGAAATTACCAATCCTGGGGGAACAAAGGGGGAAGTTGAGGAATTGTGGAGTTATTGTGGAGACCAGGTTGAGGGAGGTGATTCTTCCCCTCT